GTTCCAGACTGTTGTCTGTTTTGACAGGGCACACTGGGGGGGGGGGAGGAATCATCACATTGCTGCAGAGAGACAATTCACTGTTTTCCTCTGAGTGAAATTTCTTTTTTTTTCTTTAAAGATCACTGCTACAGCTGCCTGTTACCTTTGGAGAGACTCATCTGTATAAGTTGATTTCCTCACTGTCTCTTTTGGCCTTCTTGTGTTTGGCACCCAGTGGGAGTTGATAAACACTTGCAGTTTCCACACGACCCTGGGAAATAACCCTGTGAAAGAGGAACTAAACCCTCTTGCTGTGCTCTCGTTAGAATAGATCGCCAGAGCACCATGTGAAACACAAGAACACCACGTTTTTGTGGTGAAAGAATATGTAAAATAATACAGCCAGATGGCTTTCTGAATACCACATCGCCTTGCTTGCACTGAACACTGGGAACTTTCTAGTATATGAGCTTTTGTATACAGGGCTGAAAGTGTGCATTCATTCTCAAAGGAGAGCATCAGCTGCTAGAGGAAGGCAGGCCTAATCCTGTAGAATCAGTGAGTGCATGTTACTCTTAATAAATGTGTTTAAATCAATATATTGTTGTTAATTAGGCTTCGAGCTAAACAAATACAAAATCATGAAAAGGCTTCAGCGTAGCAGCCGCTGATAACTGAGAGAACATTATGTACAAAGCAATTTGTCATGTTGCTAATATCTGAAATGCATCCTGAAAGCATGATGAATTTGGGTGCATGAGGTTAACCGGGACACTCACATGTATCCTTGCTGCTAATCAGCAGCAGGTTTCTTTTCTACAAGGACTTTGTAGCTGGTCACAAGTTATTTTCCTTAAAACAGATAAAAACTAATGAAAATAATATAAGCTACTTGTCTTTTTTTTTTATCCAGGTTTCTAGGCATATGTACAGACTGACCAGCTGCAAACCCCATGAAATAAATGACTGCGTTATAATAATAATAACACCTTCATATTGCACAGCTCTGTGTCGACTCGTTCCTCTCCACAATGGTGTCACTTGTCCCTCTCCTGGGGATAAGTTGAAGAAGACATTGCCTGTGGTGGCTGGCTGGATTTCAACTGGCAGAGACCTCAGAGCTGCTCAGAAGAAGGCTTTGAGATAAACTGCTAATTTTCTGAAAGTGAGCCGCCATCTTCCAAAAGAAATGTGCAAGCTATTGATGTTACATTTAGCAGAATATTACACTTGAAAAAGGATCATAAAGCATTGCAGCTACTCAAAACCATTAACCATCAGTTGCTTCATGACAAAAAAAGTTGCAGAGTCAGTGTATAAATAGGAAATTGCTCTACTTTAATATTTCAACATTGATTTCCCATCACTTAATAGGCCTATCTTTAGGAAGTAAATGTGCTTTGATTTTGATGGAAACAATCAGTGTAGCACAGAAAACTAAAAACTGCAGTGTCTTTGATCAGTGAATATTTTGTCATGCAAAGATGCCAGTCATTTTCTTGTTTTTTGTCTTTTTCAGTGTGGGGGTTTGCTCCTTTTGTCTGTTTTATAAAACTATAAATGTAATATCTTTGGGTTTGGGCTGTTGATAAGACATGAGTTTGAACTCTGGGAATTGTATTTGTCAATTATAAACGATAAAACAGAAGGATTTTGTTAAAAATATCAGTAGTTGCACCCCCTAATAGTATCCCATACGTTTTAAACAACTGTTACAAAATCAGTCAGTGCGCATGCGTACATAATCCACCCCACTCCTTACAAATGTTTGATTTATTGGTGGTATTATCCCTAAAGGTCTCTGTAATGCATAACGGTGTCGTTCGTGAGATACATCATCTCAATGCATGAGGGCAACCTGTGGTGAAACTTTCGAGCACAACTCGTGCAGCTCGGTGCGTCTGGGCGCAGTAGCCAATGAACGAGCAGCTCCTGTGACGATGTGCCGTGAGCTGCCGGTCGACACGCCCCCAGCATGGATACAACCAGCAGGAACAGGCGCTCAGGAGACGCGCTCACTATGCTGGAGAGTGCTAAAATCCGCGATGGGAGTTAACATAGCCAAGTTTGCAGAGTTCTTTTTACCAGCTTTGTTGCACTAAACAAAGACCTTGGGCTTCTTTTTCCCCTCTGAGCGGGCCTGTCTGCGTTTTTGTCCGAGGCGTTTCTCTCACAGGATGTAAATGATATTGGAAAGCCGGGTAACATCATAAAGTCAGTTCTCTGATGAGAACGACCTCCTCCTCCTCACCACCACCACTACACAAAGGGAACCACGGAACAAGTACTTTTTCACACGCCATCCTTTTATTTTTGAATGTCATTAAGAAGCAGAGGGGGCCGTTTCAAAGACAAAATGGATCATTTTGCAGCAGAGTGCCTTGTTTCAATGTCCAGTCGTGCAATTGTTCACGCTCCAAAGGGGAATAGGGAGATTAAACCAGAAATCCCGTCCTCCTCCAAGAACGGAGAGGAAATTAAAGAGCCATTGGTGAAAGAGAACTCTTCTCTTTTTGTGGTGGCACGGATTCTGGCGGATTTTAACCAGCAGACTCCCAACAATGTTGCCGAGCAGGCAAAAATAAAGGATGAGAGCATGCCGAACCTCATAGATGATGGAAACTCTGCCACACCTACCACCATCTCCGATCCTTCGCTCAAACAAAGAGCCAAAAGATCGAGAGGTCGAACTGAGCAGGAATCACCTCAGAAAAAGCACAAATGCCACTATTCAGGTTGTGAAAAAGTTTATGGCAAATCATCCCACCTCAAAGCTCATCTAAGGACACATACAGGTCAGTTCCATCGGATGCAAATGTTTGTTGCTGTAAACATGACTTACTGTGCTTCCCTTCCCCTATATGTTAATGGATTGGATTCTTAAAACTGAGGATACAGATTAAATAAAGTGTGGTTTCTCATACAGTCACACTGGTATTTCAGGGTGCTTGACTGCTCCGTTCCACCGAGTCATACGTATGAATGCACGGATCCACCCTAAATGGAAGTCATCAGCGCGCACAGTAGCCTGCAATTAAGCCAAAATTGGTAGTTTAATAATTGCATCGTCCCTTTAAGTTGTATCAACTTTGCGAAATGTCCTTTTAATATCGGGGGAGGGAGGCAGTTGAAAATAGTGCCACTCCCACTCAAGTCCCCGAGCTTTGTCACGGCTTCCCTCTACCCCCCCTCACCGTGCGCCTCCCTGCAATGGACAGTATGTACTAACTGAAACTGCTGCATGCATGCAGAAACAAATGACACAGTTGCGATCTCCAGCTGTTGTCGTACGTGCTTGAATTGCAATAAACTTAGCTTCGTTTCATGACAAAATGAGAAAAACTATCCTTTAAATACTAAATAGTTAATGCGCAGTTCACAGAATAAGCCAAGTGTGCGCAAACATGGGCATGCAGAAAGTTTCCAAGATCAATCCAGTAAGTGTACCGTCACACTGCAGAGAGAAAGGTTATCAAACGCGCTCCAGATCAGCGGCAATCTATTTCTCCGTATTTGCGCTTTGCATTCCACAAGATTAGCTACCGAGAAAGGGAAAAGATGGAAATCGACTCAAATTAGGGGGTTGATAAGAGCTGTGTAGTCGCCTGTCTGCCCCAAGCCCTTTGTTGTGATGTGCCACACCCCCGCAAGACAGACTGCCAGCTGATCTGGCCAGCAACAGACTCAGCTAGCTGAGCCTCGACTGGAAAGCCTCTCCTTGCCTCTGCGCCGTAGACTGCAGCTCCCGCTTCCCACCGGCGGCCCCCACTCTGCATAAACACTCCAGTCTGAGAGAGCAGAAACAAAACAGACCTTTATGGATCACATAGGAAGCACTTCGTATGAACTTGACCGACATTCTGTAGAAAATGAAAAGCTCTGCCAATACTTCTAAATATGTAGGACACGCTGACATTGTGCCATTTTATACACAGTTCTCCCTTCAGTTGTCCCAAACAGTAAAACTCTGTGACCCATCTTTACATTGGTAAATGCAGCCTCATTGTTTACTGAGATTGAGGATGACACTGCCCCCTTTCTGGCTTTGTGAATGTGTCTTCACAGCCTATCACTAGATTTATTATCCCTTGGAAGACTTTCATATGGGTGTCATATGCGATTAAAATAAAGCATAAAACTTTAAGTATGCACTATAAAACATCATAGGTTTGTTGTAAGGTAACTTTTCTTGTATACATTGGGTAATACTGCATTGGTGTAAATGTATTTTTGCCCAGTTCTACTCGCAGGCTGCAGCTTGGTGCTGACTGCTGTGGCATATAAGACCAAGCTGAGAGAGAGAAACACTGATTTAACATAAAATAGAGGTCTATAATATTCCAGTACCATTACTTAAGTGATCTCCTAAAGGGAATAAAATGCTTGCTGTTAATGTAGCTTTGTTCCTGTCTGTCAGCCCTGCACTTGCCAATTAAGCTTTGTGTTTGGCTTGTGTTCTATAACTTCTGAGTGAATCATCTCAGAATCAGAATCAGCTTTATTGGCCAGGTGTGTTGAACATGAGGAATTTGACTCTGGTACAGCAGCTCTCAATGTGCATGTACATATCCACATGCAAGTCAACAGCAAGGGGCAAGTAAACAAAATACCAACATAAGGCTGTGTAGTATAACAAGATAACTGTACAAACAAGTAATAAACAATGCCAAATAACAGTACAGACAAACAATAAACAATGCAAAATAACTATAAACAAACAATAAACAATGCAAAATAAACAGTATAAACAATGCAAACAGACAAAGTCTCAGTTCAGCTGTCCACTCTCAGAGAGCCAGCCTCCGCACACAGTGCGCTTCCTTCAGTCACAACCCCGTCTTTTCAGTTCAGTTTTATTGCTCCGTCTTAGCCCCGCCCTTCTCTCTTTGCCTAGTAAGCATTTCCTTTTGCCTGGCTATCTATTTGGATACATTCGGGCATCTGGCTTCACAACTGCTTTTCATCCCCAAAATTCTGATAATAATGACTCTGCATATTTTATTGGACAGTCCCAGAATGTGGGTCATCTGAGTTCGTCCAGGCTGCCTGACCAACCTTGCAGTGCTTTCACAGAGCCAGACTCTCAGTGTGCTTCCCCCTCAGCCCCTACTAGCAGAGTCAAGAAAGAATGGATCCCAGCCCTGTTGTTCCCAGCCAAACACTGCTGTCTAACTGAAGAGGAGAAACACTATTATAGACACGAAACAAAAAAGCCAGGAACAAGATGTCCTTACTTGACTTTTGTAGTGCTCAAAACCCCATCGACACAGCTTTCTGCAATCCTTGAGTGTGTGATTTGTTGGAGTGTAAGAGGAGCTGAAACCTGAGCTACTGTGTTGCTTATGCAATGTCCACATCATATAAAAAAAAAGATTCTCCTGACATGCTCAAAATAAATTCACCCACTAGGAGAGGTATCATCATTTTTATTTTTAGCCATGCAAAAACAAATGATGTATTATATTTTAGTTTATGTTACATTTTTGTTATTGCTCATTATTGTTGCTGCTGCTGTTACCTTTTTGTAATTGGACTGTTAACTCGGAGTCAGTTTCAGTATATTGTTTATGGCAATTTTACTGTCTTTTGCAAACTACAGAAAATCATTAAGGGTGAGTTCTTTTAAATAACGAACTACCTCAGCCATGAAGAGCGCTTCAGTATTGTTTAACTGGGTTTGGAGTCTTTTTCCGCTAGTCCAAGTAAAAGTTCATTTACAGTGCTCAAGCTTTTCAAAGAGTCAGTAACTGTGTGTGTTTCAGCAAACAGTGGATCATTTACAAACCTCACTGTGAATGGTTTATATTAACAGTGGCAGAAAAATTGTCCATACAGATAAGACTGTGGATTATCCACTTTGACTCTAAATGTTTTTAAAAGTTCCTGGTTAAGGATCCTTTCAGCGGACTAGTGGTTTCATTTTAGGTTTTGTTGCTTCTGTCACAGTGTAAGAGGGACCCCAGGATGTAGCAGACATGGGCGTATACGCTGAATGTAAATGGCTCATTATATTGCACTGGGTCAAGGAATCCATAGCATTTTATGGGTCTAAGGTTACCAGACAGCTTTTGTCTGATCTCCTGGTGTGGGGAGGTGGGGTTTTTCTCCAACACATAGGCCTACATACATTTATACTGCTGTGTGGAAAATCCAGTCTTGTAATGCTGATTTAAAAATAAACTTAATTTTTATAGTGAAATTGAACAAAAAAAAGCCCACACTCAGATTTTTACTGAGGACTTTTCTCAGCACCAGACCCACTTTCCCAAGATGTGTCTTGTAGTTATGGCTTTCACAATATTCCCTGTGATGGCTCATTACTCTGCTCTGGTCATGTCACACAGACTTCCATCTCCAAAGGAGAGATGGCCCCTGACAAGCTCATTACAAGTCATGTCTTCTTCAGAAACTTCTGTAGTCCTTACAGCTGGACCCCGGAAAAAGGCATCTTGTCAGTGTTCCTGTTCCTATAGACCTATTCAAATCACAGAGAGGAACAGGGTCAATATTTCTCAAAGACAAAGAGCCTAATGACATGTTTTACAGTTGGTTTTTCTAGACCTCTTTTGTGTTCTGCTGGGGTACCTCTACTTCTGTGAGATAGCTGTAAAGCTCTATAGGTCCTAAAAAATAACTGGCACCACCTGGCAGCACAGTTGCTTCCATGTAGACCCAGTTATTCATGCATGCTTTCTATTTTCGGTCAAGTAAATGTCATTAATGATACTTTTTAAATGTGAAATTATCCCAGTTTCCACATGGAAAAAAAGACACAGGAGCCTTTGATTTTATATCCTCTGCCAGCGGTTTTGTACTTGGCTGCTCTGCTACACAGAGTGCACAGTGTTCCTGTGTGGCTGGTAGCAGTGATGAGGGAGCAGGGTGGAGATGGGCTTTTCCTGTTCTTGCTTGAGCCTGACATTGGCGCAGAGATATTACTGGGGCACAAAAGCACACAGCAGGATTTCCACCAGTCCTTCTCAGCTGAGCCATATTTCTCCTGACATGCAATAAAACGAGGACTCCTTAGGCCCACTGAAATAACTCAGTATTTAATTGATAATCCTAATGACTCCGGTGAGCCCCGTAACCTTTGGTTAACATTTGTGGTTCTGAGTGAAATGTGTCAACACCTTTTTGACAAATTTCCATAAAATTTTGTACTCCTTGCCCTCTGAAAGAATTTCAGCAACTGGGGATCCTATGACTTTTCATCAAGCACCATCAGCGGGTTAGAAAATTCTGCTTCATGGCAAAAAAACTTTCAAAAGCAATGATATTCCCAACAGTCTCTGGTTTACTTTCCGAATAGTTCATGGTGTATGCTAACATAGTAAACTAAACTAGTTACCATGGGACAAACCAGCTGGTAAACATTAGCTTGTTACTTTGCCATTTGGCTCATGATACTGTAGGTGACACCAGTTTAGCTCAAAGCACCAGTGATGCTTAGCACAGACTCACAGAGCCTATAGCATGGCTGTACAGTCTTTATCATGAAGAAAATCTGGTTGGCTAGTGAAGGCCACATGTAGCAGTACAGTATGTACCCAGTGGATGAAGGTATTAGTTAAATCTACTTGATCCTCAGGATGTAAATAACGCCAAAGTGGAGCCATCATCTTGTCTGGTCTAATCCTCCTGCTGTGTTGCTGTTCCATTAAAGACATCTCCAAGGCATTCTGGAGCGCACGCTGTCCATATTCTATCCTGTGTATGGACATCAGCAGACGGGATAGTTCCTTCTGAAATGTTGGCAGTATAAAATTGATTTAACTGTGATTAAGCAGCCAAG